ATGGTAAGAAGAAGAAACGTCATCGCGACGAGGGTGACACGGAGGAATCACGTGGGGTGAGAAAGAAGATGAAAATGAAGAAGAAGGGCCGTTGATGTTGTCGTGGATATTGTTGTGGTTATATTGTACAGTTATGAATAAAATATGAGGTTCACTCTTGTAGTAGTTATCAATAAACTTTGTGAGGACAACTCACCTTTTAGAGCTGGTTGGGTGGCCCCATGGATGGAGTGTCAGCTTGTCTCGCCAAACACCAAATGTTCTTCTCATTGATAAATCACCTGAAGGCCCTAGTGAAGATACCATGATAGTTTATTCAGCATGTAATTTCCATGAATAATGTTGTATTCAATAAATATAAACGCTTAAGTGTGCAATAGGCATCCTTGGTAGTTTGGCTCGGAACCTTTCATCCAGCCCTCGTAACCATGAAAGTCAAAACATAATCTGACCCCTGTCTGTTGTTTACTGCTGTGGTTTCCTACATTCGCCCACTCACTTGACATATCCGGCCCGCCCGCCAAGCCGGACGCCAGTCTACATCACATGTACAGCTTGGCGTGGAGGTATTTTAGGACCAGTACTCGTTGTTTACCATGTGATCAGCCTGACGTGGAATTGTTCTAGAACCAACTATTGAACTTTCACATTATACCATAAAACTATCGTCAAGTATACGTCTCGCCCACTGTCTGCCAGACAGAGCAGAGACAGGGTATGGCAGGTTAAATGTGGCACGATTTAAATCGTGATTTTCCTGGTCTTTTGTGACTGGGTTTCAAACTGTCGGAACAGAGAATAACATACTGGGAGTATTTCTGCCACGCCAATGCTGACACAAACCGGGTAATGGCATAGTATCCCGACGTGACTATAAAACGGGATTTTAGATTTCAAAATGGCGAAACGCAACGCAGATTTCAAGAGATATGTGGCATATTTCTGCCACGCAAATGCTGACACAAAGTGGGTTATGAACTTGATCAACACATTGGAGTCCAGGAAGTATGGTATAAAATGTGCTGAATACGACCGGGATTTCAGCTGTTGTGGGAAGTACATCACAGATCTGTTTCAGGAGTTTCTGGAAGACTCTCACTGGATAATCGTGGTGCTTTCGCCGGAGTTTGTCCGCTCTAATAGCGTGTACATGTACTGAATTCAGCTGTCAGCCCATACATATACCTTCCTCAACTCTAGTAGCCATTAACATATACCATTCTCAGCTCTTGTCGGCTATAGGTGGCCCTGTCATCAAAGGTGCAGCAATTTGTTAAACAGAACTCCTTTCGGTACCTTCCAGAACCTATGGGGTAGCTTTGTGGTTAAAGTGTTTGCTCGTCACTGTTGTTCGATTCTCCACATGGGTACAATGTGTGAAGCCCATTTCTGGTGTCCCCTACTGTGATGGAATATTGCTAAAAGCGGCATAAACCATGTTCACTCACTCACCCTAGAGCCTATGATTGCATGTTCAACTTCTGTTTCACCATAATTATATTTCATGGAATGTCAGTGGCATGCCTATGGTCATGGATTTCGACAAAATGTTAAACTATTAAACCTGCATGAAGTTCCTCATCAAACTCGCACTCTGAAATACAGATCAAAATTGTGTTAAATCAAACTCACTGCATTAGCAACCTGTACCCATGCCATTATGAACTCAATAAGCCTGCATTGATTCCATTCTTGGCTGTCAGGGTGTTGTTAAGGCTACTATCTTGTTCTGCAGGAAATGAACGACACTACTGATGGTAAGAAGAAGAAACGTCATCGCGACGAGGGTGACACGGAGGAATCACGTGGGGTGAGAAAGAAGATGAAAATGAAGAAGAAGGGCCGTTGATGTTGTCATGGATATTGTTGTGGTTATATTGTACAGTTATGAATAAAATATGAGGTCCACTCTTGTAGTAGTTATCAATAAACTTTGTGAGGACAACTCAGCTTTTAGAGCTGGTTGGGTGGCCCCATGGATGGTAGGGCTGGGACGGGTAGGAAAAATTGGAATCGAGTACCCGCATGTACTTACCCGAATCGGAATCGAGTACCCGGAAATGTAAGGAATACAGCGCTTCTGTCAACTTTCTGAATATCATAGAAAACTTATAAGGGTGACAATAAGACATTAAAATGATCACCAACTATATAATTTACGACTGTTTAACCAATATAAAGAGTAACACCATTACTTACATTGACGGCCACACTTCTCCAAACTATCATTAAAGCAAACGGTAGGAAACACTACAAAACAAAACAGCCTAAAGGTGTGGTTTACAACATCAGCTGCGACTGTGGCAGCCACTACATTGGTGAAACATCCAGACCCCTCAGCATACGCATCAAAGAATACAAGACATCCACAAACAATGCAGACACCAAATCAGCCATTTCGGAACACATCACCAAATTTCCTCAACACAACATCAACTGGGACACTGTCAAAACACTTACAAACAACAAACATGATTACACTCAGCGGAAATTGTCCGAAGCATTACAAATACGCCGTTTTAATCCCTCTATTAACAGAGATCAAGGCTATTACATCCCCTCGGTTTACAACCACCTAATCCACAAATAATAAACCACTCAACCCACTCTGGCTTCTCATCAACCTTCATACTCACATTCCTCACCACCGGCTTCTCAATAATAAATACCCCCACCACCACCTTGGCTTCTGCCTAATTAACTTACATTCGCTAATTCTCATGGTAATCCCACTCATCTCATTTTGTTATCCTCAGCTCATCATCATGTCATTGTAGCTCATCATGTAACTTTCTTTGATGCTTTGTTTCCCCACCATTGTTGTCGCATTATCTTATCTTGTATATAAACTGGTGTACCCCATCATCCTCCCATATGCTTGAAAACGGTATAAGAACCTATACAGAAACGTCGCTATTGTTAAAATAAAGATGTTGATCATCCATAAAGTTGGGTCATCTCATTACTTACATTGCTTGTTAAAATGTACTTTTCGTTCCTACTGTTACTGTAACTTGACTACTCACTGGCACATGCGCAGATAAATTACAAGTTCAAGTTCAATATATTTCGGTAATAGGGGCCCATTGGCCCAGAGTACAAACAATACATGGCATTTCATTTTGGTGGCTCTTACATAAGAGCGTGAACGGCATAATTATCCCAGCAGATACATTGTACAATTGAACAATAATAATTAGAGGTTGACAATATGATAATGCAAAAGTTGATAGGGTTAACTCCCTTGCAGTTTGGTACAATTTCTGAGAAAGAGCATATCAAGTCATAGCAAATTGTATATGTATATAGTGATGCATGAGCACAATAATTTGTAATGGTTATAAGTCAAACAATTAAACCATAGTTGTAGGTAGACAAGATGTTATACGGAATATGATTGAGTTGTCTCGCTTGCATCAGGTATTGAGGAACCTCTGTCTCACAGCTGAGGCCTTGAATATGTATTCTGCTAATAGTGACTTATTCTCGCACTTCATGATGTGGATAAATTTCTTTTCGTTGGAGAGATAATGGAGAATATTCAACAGTTGGGATCGAAGATCATGATATTGAGAGCTAGTAATACGAAAATGAATTTCGCCCTCAAGTACACAACTTTTGGACATAGACAAACAGTAGTTACACACTCTCTCATCTCTAATAATTCCTAACCATCTCCCTGTTTCAATAGCAAGATCATGATTTGTACATCTAAATCTGGTTAGAGCTATTCTATATCTGTCCATTTGCACCACATTAAAATATTACTCCATTTCTGGTGAAGATTTATACTGGCAATAAAGAGATAAATTGTTACTTTCCTTAATGTTTACTGACCAATTTTGTCTCCAACAGTCAATAACTCTTTGCTTGAAAATGTTAAAAACAGTGACTTGTCTCCAACTCCATGGTTTTCCCACACCATACCAAAACCATAAGAAAAGAGCAAACATCTAACTGGACGGGCCCATGATTTTCTCCCCTGCACTGTCCAGACCACAAAGCAGTGAATAACATGCTTTTGGATATCTGTTACTGGGCATAGCTTGTAGTTTAAACCAAAAGATAAATTACAGTTGTTAATAATAACCTCCATTAATCGGACAATACCATCGATGTAAATGTGTTACGTTATAATGAAAAAAGACAAGTTATTATCTGCCCTTGTCATTACAGAGTTCTCTCCCTTTCCTGGTACTCGATTCCGAGAAATAGGACTCGATTCCAGCTGTACCCGACCCGAAGTCGAGTACCCGTCCCAGCCCTAATGGATGGAGCGTCAGCTTGTCTCGCCAAACACCAAATGTTCTTCACATTTATAAATCACGTGAAGGCCCTAGTGAAGATACCATTGTAGTTTATTCTGCATGTAATTTCCATGAATAATGTTGTATTTAATAAATATAAACGCTTAAGTGTGCAATAGGCATCCTTGGTAGTTTGGCTTGGAACCTTTCGTCCAGCCCTCGTAACCATGAAAGTCAAAACATAATCTGACCCCTGTCTATTGTTTACTGCTGTTGTTTCCTACACTCACCCACTCACTTGACATATCTGGCTGGCCGCCAAGCCGGACGTGTACAGCTTGGCGTGGAGGTATTTTAGGACCAGTTCTCGTTGTTTACCATGTGATCAGCCTGACGTGGAATTGTTCTAGAACCAACTATTGAACTTTCACATTATACCATAAGGCTATCGTCAAGTATACGTCTCGCCCACTGTCTTCCAGACAGCGCAAAGCCAGGGTATGGCTCGAACAGGTTAAATGTGACACGGATTTAAATCGTGATTTTCCTGGTCTTTTGTGACTGGGTCTCAAACTGTCGGAACAGAGAATAACATATTGGGAGTATTTCTGCCACGCCAATGCTGACACAAACCGGGTTAGGGAATAGTATCCTGACGTGACTATAAAACGGGATTTTAGATTTCAAAATGGCGAAACGCAACGCAGATTTCAAGAGATATGTGGCATATTTCTGCCACGCACAAAGTGACACAAAGTGGGTTATGAACTTGATCAACACATTGGAGTCCAAGAAGTATGGTATACAATGTGCTGAATACGACCGGGATTTCAGCTGTGGTGGGAAGTACATCACAGATCTGTTTCTGGAGTTTCTTAGAAACTCTCACTGGATAATCGTGGTGCTGTCGCCGGAGTTTGTCCGGTCAAAGTGGTCGATGTACCAGCTGAATCTAGCTGTTCATTACAGCATCTGCAACAACCACGGCAATATTGTGCCTTTAATGAAAACATCTGTCGCCGTTCCAGATTGTCTGAAATGTTTTGAGTTGGTAGATACAAGAGAAAGGAAATGGCGTACACAACTTTTACAACGATTGCGTTTTCCAGGTAGGCCCACAAATGTTTCACAATTTAGACACTTGCACCCTGTCATGTACACCATCTTGAATTTCTATTCATGTACGTCAAGAGGTGTAACTGACGTAAGCAGCGCTTGATGTGGTTCGTCAAACAGACACACCTCATTCGTGGTCAGACACAACCTATGTAGGATGAGGTACTGGTAGCAATCATGCAACGAAATTTTGATTTGATATGTTGACTATTTGCTGTATCAAGCCGATAGCTGCTCTCTTTTGCAAACATCTGTATCAACGACGGGTCCATAATGCAGCGTATAACATATATCCCGTCCCACGTCCTTGACGGTCTATTTGTGTGAAGGACGGTCTATTAAATAAGTAAGGCCGTCCTTTGGTCGGGGGAAATATACTCCCCATCAAAAATTTAGACTCACTATTTTAAATGCAGCCACCACTTACTTCAGTCAACTGATCTCAACTAGATTTTGCAAAATATTCTACACTGTCTAAAGGTACTATTTTCACATGAACTGATATATTGTAACACAAATTCGTAACGTTGAAAAGTTTATTGTCATGAGTTCAATAAATGATCGAACTCAGTGAAAATTGGCAAATTCTTAACAAAACTTTACACCAAAACGCAGCTGCTCACATGCACGATATTTGCACATGCTTTTCAGCAAGTTGATGCATGACCCTCGTGCAATTTATCTGCATAAAGTTAGCAGTTGGTTCGCCCAAGTTAGTGGAGAAATTCATCTTCGATGTAACCACATGTATATACAGAACATACAGTGAGTGCTTTAAGTGAGTCTAAACCTTTTATGGGTAGTATAATTATTTGAACAAAATAAACTTAACTTAACAATGAAGAGTTTTAGTTTTGGGGACTGGCTGTATTTGCTCAGGACTGGTCACGTTTTTGACAGTCAGTCCTCGGGCAGGTCACATTTCAAAACTATTTCACACACTGGTACATATTATTCAAGCATTCATATTACTATACATGTCATACTCGTGTTTAGAGTGAAGTATTCGTGTGGAGTGAACAGATGTTTACTAAACAATACAGGAACACAACTAGAACAATTGTACTTAATTCTTTCAGGTTTTGATAAGAATTGGACAGTTTATTATTTTTGTTCTCATATGAGAATGTGTGTGCTTGGGAGGACATAATGAAAGTACGTGTATTTTTCTTCTAGCCACGATGTCTCCAAAGTTTAAGCCAGTCTGCACAAACGAAGGTAAAATTCAATTTAGAATGTTGAGTATGTGGTTCCATACGTGACCCGTTAATCTCTGCATGGTCATACAGGATCCCACGTGGTTCTTGTGCTTTAATAGCACAGGTCCCATTCTCTGGTAGAAGAAGCACAGATGATTCACGTGCTTCAATAAAACGTCCCATTCTCTGGTAGAGGAAGCACACACGAATCATGTGCTTCAATAAAACGTCTCATTCTCTTGTTAGAGGTAGCACGCTATCGCACAGGAGCACACATGATTCACGTGCTTCGACGACACGTGTCCCATTCTCTTGTTAGAGGTAGGACACAATCACACAGGAGCACACATGATCCATGTGCTTCAATATCACGTGTTCCATTCTCTAATAGAGGTAGCACACAATCACACTGAAACATACATGATTCATGTGCTTCAACGACACCTATCCCATTCTCTAGTAGAGATAGCACACAATAACACAGGAGCACGCATGGTTCATGTGCTTCCATAACACGTGTCCCATTGTCTAGTAGAGGTAGCACAAATGATTCATGTGCTTTAATAACATGTGTTTCATTCTTCACTTTAATTATCAAGTGAGAGATTTTGTTGATTGCATATTGATGCACTCATCTTGCATTTGTAAGGTAGAATCTTTAATTCTTGTAAGAAATATTGAAAGTTCTGTAATTGCATAGTATATGCACATATGCTTATCCTTCAACATTGAGTAAAAGGTCACCTATAATACGCCAAACTGATTACTCAGATTTAAGATAGGGTGTGCTATTTTTAGTGATTAATATCAATATTCAGAACCACCAGATTTGTATCATTCAAGAAAAGGCAACAAAGGACTACTTCTGTTCTGCCATGAATTATAAAAGCTTTTCAACTGCATTAAAGTCACAATGTCATATATTTTCGACAATATTTTGCCCTATACAGTATTATATATTGGGGCTTATGCACCCACTTTAGCTTCCTATTGATGCAATAAAAGACTTATTATCCCTTACGACTTGTCTGAAATTGCTACCTGAAACTTCGAGGCGAACAGCTTCCAAACAAATAACACTTGATATGATATTATATGGAATATAAACTCCGTAATATTGCTCGGTACATCGAAAACTGTCGCACGCGGTGTTGTCGGTGTTTGCCGAACTGGTTTCAGTCACATGTTGTGTTTTAGTAGGATATTTGTAAAAAGCGCTCCAAGGGACATGACTCCATGGAGTTCGCTTAAAATAATGTTCGGTCAGTAGACGGCACGAAAGTCGATTTAATGCAACGTTGCATTAATTCATTCGAACTTTATAATTCAATATTGTAATCTAAATACGTAATTTTGGAGGGAATAAATTATATGGTAGCTGCCCTGAGGACTGACAGAGAAATGCATTATTTATTTTGAAGGAGTGTGGTATTATAATACAGTGCCTTTAACCATCCGAAGTTCTTTCTCATCTGCAGGTCATATCAGTATTCAGTCTTTGGGTGGGCACAGCACTCGCAGAGTAGTGTCTGAACAGTTCCATCTTCAGAGAAATGATACACTTTCACAGGAGGATTTTAACAAAGTTAAGGTAAATTAAGTAATGATAAGCATATTCATACTTGTTGGTCCCAGTATTAGTCTTGGGCTCCATTCACGAAGCAACCTTTACTAAGGTTAACCTTAACTCCCATTCTTCAACACTGCACTAAGGTTACCTTGGTGACTTACGATCATCTTAGTGCTTTTTGAAAGGAGGCCCAGGGCATTCACAAACCAAACAACAAAAATTGTTGGAGTGCTTGATGTCTTAAAATGTCAGGAACGTTGTTTAAGATTTCTTGTTCTTCACCTTCCGATGTAGACTTTCTTGTGGTTGAGGGTTTAGTATCGATATCTATTTGTGTAGAGATATGATATCCATGTTAGATACAGTTTATCACATGGAATACGGTGCTGTTCCAGGCTCACCGCACCCAATGGTGTTATAAGTTACGATCATTACGACTGACTGACTGACTGAATTTGGTTTTACGCCGCTTTAAGCAATATTCCAGCAACATCACGGCGGGGGACACCAGAAATGGGCTTCACAAATTGTACCCATGTGGGGATTCGAACCCGGGTCTTCGGCGTGACGAGCCAACGCTTTAACCACTAGGCTACCCCACCGCCCCACGATCATTACGTGCCCAACGCTCTTGGCTTCTAAGGCTTCTGGGCTGGGACCTTCCGGTTGCTCTGTTGAAGCAAACCACATAATGGCACCTAGCTATTGATTAATTTCTGACTCTATTATTTCTCAACCGTTACTTCATCTAAAATTAATCATTTAACTGATAGTATTCTAATATGGTTATTTCGGGAACTTTCTGTAAGTATTATACTTTCAAGTCATTTGGCGAATCTGAATTGTTAACTTATATTAAACAGAAAACGTGTACATAAATTTACATAAACTAGACTAGAAATACTTTTTTGCTAATATATCTTTCAGATCCTAAAGTACAGGAGCGAAGGTCGGGTGAGTGGGTATCATGTAATTTGTAAGCTTACGTGACAGCTAGCTTTAATTCAGCTGAATCACGATCGACGGCAGATAGTCGGCCAGATAGGCCAGTCTTAGGTAGCGTGACCTACGTGTTATAGACAGTCGGTGTACGATGTCAAACAGTCACCAAAATCACTGTCATCAGTTCAGTTTGTTCACTCTCACAGACTGTAGTTAGACCTACCCTGACAAGTATCCTTACAGAGAAGTGAACACCCGTGTTTTTAGATTTGTTTAACCCACACCCAGTTTTGTGAGTATCACCTTAACTGGTATACGTCGAAGACCTTGATCTCATTTCCCAACATTTTGATATTATACGGCATGACCGATTTACTTTCAAAGCGGCGTAAACTAATATCAGTTACTTAGACTCAGATGTCGTTTTACATATTTCTACCCCTGAAGGTCCGGTTTAGAGTGTTGATCTTCAGTAACCCATGCTTGTCGTAAGAGGCGACTAACGGGATCGGGTGGTCAGGCTCGCTGACTTGGTTGACACATGTCATCGGTTCCCAATTGCGCAGATCGATGCTCATGCTATTGATCACTGGATTGTCTGGTCCAGACTCGATTATTTACAGACCGCCGCCATATAGCTGGAATATTGCTGAGTGCGGCGTAAAACTAAACTCATTTACTCACTTTTACATATTTCACCCCTCGGTATGTTTTTTGCAGAACTTTTTGGACAAGGCACGCCACGCCAAGGAACCCCATCGTAACTTTCTGAAACAAGGAGGCATGGTGAGGACAGTTTCGTCGGCTACCTGTTACAACAGGCACAGTACGGACAAGAGACATCAAGAGTGCTTAGGTGAAGAGTTCGGACGTAAGACTAAGAAAGGATCAGATGATGACGGTGCCACCTATTCTAGCGATGGCTTCGACGCTGTTCCCGACTCCGTGTTGGATTCTGGGAACCACGCCAAGATACTAAGATTACATAATGGAATAGGAAAACAACGCATCGACGCTGATAGTTTGCTCAGATCACACAACTAACATGGGGAAGATAGGTTTTCAAATATGGTGTCGTTTCCCATGCGGCAGAGTTAGGATCGGGTGTATTGAGAAGTTATACCCTGTTGTTCGACAAAGTGTTTTTAATTCAAAGATGTGTTATTAGGTTCTGTATATATTCACCCTGAGATATCTCCATGGTACGCTCATAGTAACGTGCATGGTGGTATAGCCTTGCTACAAGACTCTCTAACTGATGTTCTACAAGAGCTGGGTAACACCTCACTTCTACTTGGTGGGGACTTTAACGCAAGAACCGGCACTATGTAGAGGACGATATAATATCCACTCTCTTGCAGATGTGTGTGATGCAGTTGACAAAATGAAGTCTGCAAGACGTGGTGTGCAGAGCAAAATTGTTGACTTTGTAAAAAAATTGTTGAGATTGTTGTGATTGTTAAACATGTTCTAGCTAATGTCTGTGAATGATAAATTCATAATTTTAATGTTATGACAATGTCCATGTACAAATTAAAGATTTGTAGCCTCAGCATATACATGTCTCTACATCTCTACAATCCAAGATGGCGGTCAAATGTGAATAAGGAACAACGGATATAGCGAACTAAATTTCTCGGTCCCTTGGAGTTCGTTATATCTGTGTTCTACTGTATGGACTATTGTGAATTCTTGCACGATAATATTCAACATAGACGGTACTCATGTGACAATTTTATTTCAAACTATGGTATGCGCAAATTTGAATATCACAGTTTTTAACGGCAGAAATGGAAATGATCAATTGATTGACGATTCCACGAATATCTCATCAAACGGAACAAGTGTGATAGACTATGTTATCGGATAGAGTGACTTCTTTACATTGTGCAGTGGATTCGATATCGGATGTAGGTCAGAGTCTCTACATCTGCCAATCACTTGTGCATTTCAGTCGCGTGGTGATATTGACAACCACAAGGAAGCACGTGATTCACACTCTGGACAGAACTTTAGGTTTAAGTTGACTGATGATTGTGTAAACAAATTCCATGTTAATTTGCTTTCACCCGATGTAAGAAAGACCCTATATGATTGTGCTTGCCAAGCTATCTATGATGTAAATCAATCAGTTAAATCGTTTACTAATGCCTTACTGATGAAAGGAAAAGGACAGTTCTGGAACAGGTGCCGAAGGAGCCCGTCTTTTAATTGGTCAATGAGAGTCACTTGACCACAATAGGCGTCTTATATTGCATGTTGTGGTGCAATACCGAATCTATATTTAGCCAGGGAAAGACCCGAGCTATAAATAGGTCAGCGTCTCGCTGTGTGACTCGCCCTTGTGATATAAGCCAATACATAGTTTACGTTTTGTAACCAGAACTGGCTAGCCGTGACCGGATATAGCCGCATGTTTTTTTTGTCTTTATATAAGAGGTTATTCCCCCCCCCATACTCATATGTCATTTCACTCTTGTGAGCGAATCTAGACTGACGGTCCTGTCGTGTCTACACTCAATCTTACGACGCTGTTCACAAGACAGGGAACTTTCTTAAAAGTAAATGGTTCAATATATAGTTAGCTGGAAAATATAAATATTCAAAGTTACATATTTTTTGAATTTTTCTTCACATTTTGAAATATCAACTATTATATCCAATCCCGATTATAACTAATATGGGTAGTGTTATAAGTTTGTTTTATCTAATTAAACTATCAACATATTTAAGTTTATTTGATTTTAACGTCTACACTATTCGGTTTTTGGTTGTTGTTTTTTATTCAGAATGGAGGAGAGGCAACGTTTTCTAGACTCTGTACAGTCCCTGCATGAACTTGAGACATGGGCAACGGCCAATAGCTGTTCAAATGACCCGGCTGTGAACTTAAAACGTATCAATCTATTAGCAAACAGGTTATCCAACAACTGCAAGAATACATCCTCATCACTGACTCATACATGTGACAACTGTAACAAATCTTTTACAAGCAAAAGGAATCTTCTTCGACATACACGAACCGTACATGGAAATGAGAAAATATCATGTGCGCAGTGTGGACACTCGTTTTCTCGCGGCATACTGTAAAACATGGAGTAGAGTCTTGGAGTGGAGTCTTGGAATGGAGTTTAAATGTAAATATTTTGAAGACCGAGTTTGTTTTGTTTTGATCATAAGGGAAACTAAACCAGGGCATTCGTTCCAAAAATCTGTAGCTGGTTGGTGTTATCAGTTTTATCAGAAGGCAGGAGGCATTTTGTATACACTTATCAATTAGCCCTGTCAACTCCAGAAATGCCATTCTGTAACTGTATTAACAGCGGGTCCTGTTCTGGGGCTTTGTTGACATCAAGAAAAAAATGTGTATGAATAGATCGGAAGGATGGATGTGTCAACGCGTAGATTTGATCGATAGGGGAACTAGCTTGGAATTATACGTACAATAAGTTGACAAAGACGAAGGATAGGTTGAGTTCAAACTACTTTAGTTGGTTGCACAAGCCAGGACAAACATTAGTAATAGTATACATGAATGAGGTTAGTGGAGTTCCGGCTCAATACCAGGGCGCTTCCTACGAGGGATTATTCTGCTCGTGGTCGTCCCTACACAGACAGTCTGAATACCGGACTCCTTGACAATATGGATGTGAGCATATATATACGGTTTTTGACAACAATGGACAGGCGAGCACACAACAGTTGACAGATAGAGAAACAATAGCACTTCTTTGTAACAGTGGATGTGATGGCAGACGCGGCCAAGGGGGATGACCAGTTAAGGTTCTAAATGTCATATTAATGAACGTGACAAAGTGGTACAGGGTTGCTGACAAGACAATGTACAGTGCGGTAGTGATAATAATTAAGTATGCAGATTAAATAATTGCAATTAAGTTTCACATGGTTTGGCTACATAGTTTTTTATCTTTAGGAATATTTGAACGATGGCTGTCCTGAATTAGGCGCCATAACAGATGAATGTATGGATGGAAATGATTTACAACCTATACACCAAATACTAATAATGGCATTATTTATTGTCCAATGAAGGACATACATAACATTGACACATGCAAATGCACATTTGTGTAGAGGAAGCCGTTGTAAGGGAAAGGTACAGAAATACAGTCTATGCTAAGACATATTACATAACAAAGAAATTGATAACATAAGATACATAGCACTATATTATTCAGGAACAGGATTTTGTTTGTCAGTGATGGCAAACGTAACTGTTGCAATGTCATAATTGTCTTGTTTTTTTTAATAAAAATAGTTATCTTTTTACATCCTTGAACTTACAAACAAAAAGCAAAAATAAATACAGTTGAATATTTTGCAAGCTGATTGTTAGTGAGTTTCATCAGTTCTCTGTGCCTTCGAAAATCTTAACTTTCTGTAAGGTTATGTATGGGCAGTCCATTGGAATGTGACAGATAACAGGCAACACATCACTGATACGATCTGCCCTCAGAATGGCAGAAAGCTAAGCCAGTGCTACTGAGGATTGCCATGTAAACATTTTCACACTCTTGATTACGTTGCATGTCTACAAATGAAAGCACAAATTGCAGAGAGTTTGAATTTGTGACAAATTATTAAGGAGTTTGGACATTTTAATAGTTGGCACATAACAGACATTCGATGTACTTGTAAAACCAAGTCAAACATTACTAGTTGATCATGCACTGCATCTCGAAGATAAATATATGAACATCTTTGACATCATACTTCTTATGCACTTCAGGCCTGCCCATCTTTTCCATATCAGTCTCACAGTAATGTATTGGTAGACATGACTTGTTATTCAGTGTCCTCAAATACAATGAACATTACATTGTAAAAACGTTAAGTTTTTTTAAATTTCTCTTTGTGAACAAGAGTCAGTTGTTCCCTTAATTCATTATGTATGAGAATATTCTTCATCTCAAACCCTGGATCCAATCGCCTTGCACAGTGAACATTTAGATGGAAATATGTGTTTTGCAAGTTAACCGTTGTTTTCTTTTCTTTACTCCTCGGGCTGGTGTAAACACGATGATCAAATCTCTTAAGAAGCAAATCGTGAGGTGGGGACTTATGTCTTTTATTGAATGGTTGTCCACACCCATAACATTTCCTAATAAGGCCAGCCATGAATGTCAGGTGAAATGGCTGAGTCTGGGTGGGGGTAGATGAATGACTAGCAGAATGCAAGTGACCACTGTATTGAAGTAGTTCAGACGATATGGAATTGGATTTACCTTTCCTTCTTGATGTGGCCTGTGTTGCTTTTTTACCTCTGCTGCTTGGTAGATTTCGAGTAGAACCCTTAGTAAGATTGCTTCCATTTGAATTTCTCCTGAATACATTTATAAACTGTTCTAAACAATTTACCTTTTGGGCAAGGGCAATAGTATGTTGACAGAGTTTAAGACTTGCATATCTGATGCACTGGTTATCACAGGTAATGTGACCAGATGAGGGTGCGTATCTCAGTTTGTAAGGGTTTTCAGGATGTTTAGAATTAGCAAACAAAGTATAACCTTTTGTCAGAACATCCAGGAACAGGGATGATATTGCTGACATCCTCCAGCAGTGCCTCAGCACTGTTGAATATATCATGTAGTAGGCGATAAGGCGCTGTAATAATACCACTTTGGTCAGCATTAACAGACAACTGAACCCTCTTATAAACAGCACCTTCCCCTTGCAATGACTCATGTTCATCAGTTAGCTGTTCAACTCCATCATTTTCAACATCATAAAAATCACTGGTTTCTTGTGACTGTACATCAGATGATACCCTTGGCTGTATGGGCTCATCACAGAATCTGAAGAGAGAATGTTTGTATTTTTCAGTACACGCACACACACGCACGCACGCACGCATGCACGCACGCACACACACACACACACATATATATATCCTAAGGTTCAAGGACAGAACATTCTCCCAAATTCCATTCCACTGTTCCATTCCAAAATCCATTCCATACTTTACACTGTGCCGTTTTCATCAGCATTAAAAGATATTGTGGAAGCTTTTGAGACTTTAGTCATCTGTGCATGATGTGCACCATTTATTAATAGTAATAGGGGAAAACACTTACGATTTGTAAACAGCCTGCCGTTGATTACTTGATTTTCTCCAATAAGATGTCTCATTTACACAGAGATGGGAATACTCTGGTTTCACCCGATATTCACCTTTCCCAATGAGTGATAATTTTATTTCGTTTTCCTGTCTCTTGACAATTGTTTCAATTTGACAAACAAAGTCATATGGGTCAAGCTTTTGTCCTTTCTGTTTGATTAACTCTTTCTTCATCACAGAATTCAGACACTCATTTGGATTCTGAGTGTACGGTTTAGGAGGAAATCCAAGGCCACACATGCTGCGTAAATCTGCTGACATGCAGTGCTTAATAATGTCCGATTTGAAGTCCATGAAATAGTGATAAAATGTAACACCTGATTTGTGGCGTTTGATCCATGGTTCCTTCAAATTATTCATCTTCTGATCAAACTCTTTGGTTGACAGACAGTCCACCAAGCCTCTAAACTTTGATGTATCAACCACCTCCCCAAATATGTCCTTAATATACAACTTTGCTATGTTCCCTTCAATTGCCAAAGAATCTAATTTCCTTTTAATATTATCAAGCATGTGTATGTCACACATGAGATGTTTTGCATCTGTAAAGTTTACCTGAAATGCTGATGATAAATTTTCATCACCATCTGTCCCAAAAACTTTGACATGTTTTAGTTCAGGACACTCTTGTATTAGTCCACTGGGTAATTTTAAATAACTGTCAAAAGTTTTTTTCTGATGTAATAATATTGGGCCTAACATTACTGGTTCAGTACCTTTACTTGTTTCTAGCATGAGGTGACGATACGTTGTGGCAGTTATATAGTATTGTCCAATATTGAATGTTGTATCCACACCAAGAATGCAAAAGTTTTTGTTATGTGTACAAAATTTCCTCAAATTTTTAAGCTGAGCATCTGTTGCCAAAAGCATAGTAAATTCAGGAGCTGATCTCACATCTCTAATAAATTTATTATTTTTACCTTCTTGTTCTTTTGCCAAATGAGTGCATTCTAATAATGGATCTATGTGCGGTTTTACTGACTTTTTGAAATAACTGATTTGTCCCCTGCCTTTCGGAATATTTGCGAAACTTTTAACACTTTCAATTCCGCCTTGTTCTTCCAGCATGGTGTGGAATATGTCTTTTGGTTTTGTATTTGTCTTGCATAATGCTTTTATTCTTTCTTTAGTGGTTTCTGACGTTCTGCTGTAGATATTATCTTTTTTAGAATTTCCATGTGGTTTCATTTCACTAGGTTGTGGTTGTCCATGATAAAAGTATTGGACAAAGAACTGATCGAGCATAACCTCATCCTTCTCCATGGTTATTATTACACGGTGCAATGAAGGGTTTGATCCATGTACATATTTCCTCCTCATAACTTTCAGTGTTTCGTTATTAGTGTGAGATTTGTCAACAAATTTCACATCACCATCCACTGACACAAAATTTGATTCAGTTCCAGTCTGTATCCATTTTCCCATGCCATCACACAGGACATTTTTCCAATGACCTATTCTTTCCGCACTGTATATGAAAGAACTGTTAGAGTCAATGTATGTTGCAAATGTTTTCATTCGGAAAATCTCTCAGCAACAAAATAACTGCATCCCTTGTCTTGATGCCATGTTTGAGACACTTGTATATGGGCAGTTTCACGTTCTCATTACAATGTCCTCTAAATTCATAGTTTTCTTCGAAACTTGAATTGGCAGCGGCAGCCCCATCAGTAATATATCCTTCAAACTCCACATTTCTACGACTGAATTTGCTTTCCAGCAAATCTGGTAACTCGTCGGAATCAGTCGTTAGTTCTTCTTGTTGTGAGTCTTTGTAATTAGCTGGTGTTTTCTTAGACTTTTTTCTTGGGCTTTCTAAATCACTTGTTCCGCTGCTGATTAAAATTTCATCAAAATCCATGGGGCTCCTTTTGGACTTTTGCACCTGTCTTCGTTTCCGCTTGGGTATCCCCCGGCGTTCACCTTCTGAGGAAGATGAGGATGGACTCATAGAGGAATACCTGAATCCAACCCAACTGGATTTGATTACACTTTCCCCAGGCTGACCC